TGGAACAAATGATGTAGGTTCTGTTTCATGGGGCCTTTATTTCCTACCACATTAAGTTCAAATCTTGGCCGTGTTTGGAACTGGCTATGTGGCCTTGGCCATGTCACTTCCCCACTGTCTCAGAGCACTGTGGTCCCAGGTGGCGTTCATGTCAGCCGACCCCTGAAATTCCAGAATTTCACGGGCCCCGGTCTCAGCTTTCCCCACCTCGGGCAGCTCAGCCCCAGTCAGTCAAACTACTCCAAAGTCCCCTAAGGCAGGGCCACATTAAGACTTTCTGAGCCATGTGTTCCAAAGAGATTCCGGTGGCCACCACTACCCCACAAGTCAGACAAAACTAAAACAATACTATATAGGAAATATCAAAGTCTAACTGAACTCTGATTTTTTTTATAATTGGTGGTGCTTTGTGCAATATTACATATCAAAATCTTTCTAAAATATTTTATTTTTCCTCATTTTTTTTTGGTGCCCCTGTTTGCTGTCATTTTGAGCACCTGCTGGACCTCCTGTTGTAAGATTCAGGAGGCAAGTGATACTCATCTCAAAGCACCTTGAAAATTGTGCGTCCCTGGTATCCATGGGAGCAGAGCCCGAGGCCCGTGCGTGTGGGCAGGTGCTAATACTCCACGCGCACGTGGCTGGAAAGGAGCCAGGTGGCGGAGCTGCAGCACCTTTCCCCAGTGCCTGTGTTGTATGGAGGGGGCAGGAAGTCTTGCAAGCTGGCGTGTGCGGGTGACAGGGCCCTGGGGACAGGACAGGCGGGGAAGGGAGAGGCTGAGCTGGGAGGAAAACGAGCAGGGAGGGGCCCATGGAAAATGCCACTTGCCTCATCACTTGGGCTCTGGGTGAGGCAGAAAAATGTGGAACAAGCCCAGGTGCTTCCTGGTGCAGGGGTCTCCGAGGGGCTGGGCCGTGGCCTGGCGTCATGGAGCTGGGGGGAGCTTGGCACTGGGCAACAAGGAGCCCCTGGCTGGCTTCAGAAACTTTTTTCTGATATTCCAACAGGGGCAGGAAAGAGGACTAGTTAAAAAGCATGCATTCTAGAGCCAGATTGTCCATACCCAAATCTAGACTCCGGTGTGCAATACCTCCATGACCTTGGGGTAATCATTTAACATTCTGAGACAAGAGTTGCTCCAAACTGGAAGGGTCAAAAAGGTCAATTAGTCTAGCAACCTCTTTTTTACAGAGGATGCTACTGAGGTCCCAAGTGGGGAAGGAGAACTTCCAAGAGTTCCAACTAGAGAAGGCAGAGCTGGAGACTGAACCAAGGACTTCCGGCTCCTGTCCGTGATATGCTTCGTTCAGTATATCATTGTGAATATTGAGTGCAAACAACATCCACCTGTTCCTCCCACGTAACCTTCCTCACCCTACCCACCCATCATCCATCCATGAATCCACTAATTCCTCCGTTTATCCATCTGCATAACCTATTCCATCTACCTGCTTATCATTATGCCTCCCTCCCTCCCTCTATCCAGCTGTTCCTTATCAACCCATTTACCCACCATCCTATCCGCCATCCATCTACCTACCCATCCAGCCACCCACCACCATACCCACCCATCCAGGAGGTGTGAGAATATGAAATGATTACTTTTAAACCTTTTATCCCCAGTTCAAGTCAAAGTGTTTACTGAATTTACTATCACGTTTACAGTGCTGTTATAAGCACTGCTAGGTAGGGGTAAGGATTCAGGAAAAAACACAAAATATTTCCTTCTAAAGAAATATGACAACTAAATGCCATTCAAGACTGTGGATTGGATCTTGAACTAGGAAAATAAAAGAGTTATGAAGTACATCGTTGGAACAAGTGATGACATTTTAATATGGACTGTGAAATAGATAATAGTGACTTGCTGGAATGTTTAATTTCCTAATGTTAACAACTGTACTGTGATTATATATATATTTAATAATAGAATGTTCCTTTTCTTAGGAAATTCCCACAGAAGTATTTACAGTTTTGTTAAGAGGCATGATATCTCTAGCTTACTTGCAAATGGATTTTAGAAAAAAAGTTATATATATGTTATATATATAATACAAGCATTACAATGTATGATGTAAAAGGATTTATATATAATACACAAAATATGTCAAATAAAATTTGTATATATAATAGTTTTATATGCATATGTAGTATATAAATTTATATTTTATATATATAGAAAAAGCAAATGGGGCAAAAAAAGCAATCGGTGAATCTGGGTCAATGATATGAAGGAGCTCCTCGTGTTATTCTTGCACATATTCTGTCTGTTTGAAATTATAAAAAATAAAAAGTCAACCCCCCAAGTCCCCAGTCCCTTTCTGTTGGAGTTTACAATCAGAGAGGGGACAACCTGTGGGGAACCCAGACACCTGTGATGGTAAGAGGACAAGGCATGTGGATCTGCGGTGTTTGTGCGTCCCACCCCCGCCCAGCAAGGCGCAAGATGAAGAACTGTGGGGGAGGTGGGGAAGGCAACCCCTGGGCTGGGGACGTGGGGGGCGCTGGGGAGAACTGCAGCCTTGGGGTCTGCCCGAACCTGGGAGTGGCAAAGGAGCCGCTGAGAAGTCCGCTATGCGTTCTGAACTTGATTGTTTTTCAAGAATCAACAAATAAGGATCAAAATGTCATTTTAAATTACTTTTGGTTGCTGGACTCTGAGTCTTTGAGTGCAACCTCATGACTGATTCACGAGGAGCCCTGCGTTCTATTCTGGTTACAAATGCGTGACGATTCCCCACCCATGCGCACGATGGCGAAGAGGTCAGTGGGGAATGAGCTGGTCGGAGAAGCTCTGCCGCCAGTGGTCACTGGAAGGCCGTGGGAGTGGAGCTTGAGGGGTAAGTGACAGCTGGCTGGGCAGCAAGGAAGAGGAAGCTCGTGGATCCAGGTGAGAAAGGAAATGCACCGAGAAAATGGATATTCATGGGGCACGGTACCAGGCTGCAACACACACCTTCATTTCCCCTAACCCTCTCACTGTCCCTGCCAACTCATTATTATTAGCTCTTTTCACAGATAAGGAGATTGAGTCACAGAGAGATCGCCCAGGTCATCCTGCTGGTGACTGGCAGAACCAGGAATTGCATGACCCCAGAGACCACCCCCCCTGGCCGTGTCACCCTGTCTCAGGAAAGAGCTTGTCTCGATGGGATGTGAGGGGGACATGGATGGGAATGGGCCGGAAGAAGACCCCGAACACCAGGAGCAAAAGCCCACACTTTACCAACATAGATTCTGAGAAAACCAACTGCTAGAAGGGAAGGGCCCTGGTGGACATGGAATGTTAAGAAGAGGGGCCAGAGGGGGGGTCACATTCTCACCCCGCCACAGCAGCAGCTGCCACCAAGCTGGCCGTCCCTAGGAGGGCCCGGCTTGTAGGCCCCTTACATGGATTGTCCTTAGAGGTGGGAACCGCTTCCCTCTCCATGGCACCAGGCACATTGAAATTCAGAGAGAGGGATTTGTGATTCCGTGTGGGCAGGCTCCAATTGTGAACTTGCCAGCTGCAGCTTCCTGTTCTCTCCTGACACAGGAAGGGGGAAGCGGCCCCCCCCTTCCTCCTTGCAGACTGGATATTGTTGAACGCACACCAGCTGCTCAATTAACCCGGCCTCCTTCTGCTTGGTGACTTGGACTGCAGCCTTGCCCACCTGGCCAGCTCAGGGCCCAGACCAGGGGCCCTGTGACTCAGGGGCTGAGAGAAGACTGAGGTCTGGCGGGAGAATGGGAGCAGGGAGATCCACAAGAGTCATTCGGGATTTCAGCAAAGTAGAAGCAGGGTTTTCCTGCCTGGGCCAGGGCCTGTCTTTTCCTTTCCCCTGGAGGGAGACCGTGATGAGGCCCTACAGGATGGCCGAACCACAAGATGGAAGAAGCCTGGGTCTCTGAGGGACAGTGTGGAGGACAGCTGGCCTCCCATCCTGAATCCTTACCCAGGGACTGGTATGCATAAGAAATATCCTTCTGTTGCAGTGAGCTGCTACCTGTTTGGGCCTATTTATTATAGCAGTGAGCCTGCTCTGATTAATACACAGCCTGACTCATCAGGGGGTCATGCAAAGAGCGCCCTACTCCTGATTCAACCGCCGATTCACTCTGTCATCTTGGACCATCATTTTTCTGGGCCTCGGTTTTCCCATCTGCAATACAAGAGGATTAGTTAGGTGATTTCTTAAGTCCCTTCTGTTCTGTGATTTTATTTTCTAAAAGGTGGGCAGCAATCCATGAGAATAGAAACCTAGCCAAGTATTTAACAAAATATCTCACGACATCCTTATCCATAAGATGGTAAAATGGAACCTTGCGGGTTATAGGGGGGGATGGGTCACTGCAGGTCGATGAATGATGTCTACGGAGCATTGATTAATATATCAGTAACAACCTGGCAAGGAGGTCTCTAGTGACATACCACAGGGCTCTTTTAAAGTCAACGACTTGAACGACAGAAAAGAAGCTGAACAAATTTATGGAAAACACAGAATTGGGAGGACTAACTCACAGATGGACAAGAGACTCATGATTCAAAATAGTCTCTGTAAAGCAGGAGATTGGGACAAAGGCAACAAAAGGAAACAGAGCCAAGATAAATGCAAGTCCTGCAGAACTCAAGGGCTGGGGAAGCTTGATTTGGCCACAGGGCTTAGCAACGGGCTGTGCAAATGTGATCTAAGCATTTTTATTGCCCACAGGTTCTCATGGAGCTAATGCTGGGCTATGGCTGCTGAAACCCCAAAGCATGTGAGGCTGCACCAAGCAGTCACACACAGGGTCCAAGAAGGGGAAAGAAGGTGTCCATCCTAAGTGGCCATACCTGGGGTCCCCTGTGCCAGGTAGGGAACCACTGATGCTTTAGAAAAAGGGTCAGAAAATTTTCTGTAAAGAGCCTAGTTGTGAATGTTTTAAGCTTTGTGGGCCGTACAGAGTCTGCTACAACTATTCAACTTGGCCTTTGTGGCACAAAAGCAGCCATAGACAATAGTAAACAAATGGATATGGATGTGTTCCAATAAAACTTTATTTACATAAACAGGTGGCGGGCCAGATCTGGCCCTTGAGCTGTAGTTTGCCCACCCTACTAGGGCAAAAAGAATAGATGTAAGTGACTAGGATGGTGAGGGCTCTGGAGGTTGAGGCCTGCAGGGACTGGTGAAAGAACCGCAGGCTCCATGTGGAAGGCTGGACATGCCCGCTCCGCGGTCCCAGAGGGAAAGCCATGCGGGGAGAGGTTACAAGGAGGCTTATTTTCATTCATGCCTAGGAAGACCCATAAAACGACAGAGGAATGATTCTGCATTGTGGGAGGCTGGGAATGGGAGAACCTGGGCTAGGCGTTCTTCCACACCTAGTCCTGCTCTGGAGAGAGTGGTCCTCTGCCTCCCAAGCGGCCCTGCCTTCCCACCCTTCCCTGTACCCAGTGCTGAGCTGGTGCATTCTGCCCACGCAGGGAGGCATGAGTAATACATTGGGGACGCAGCGGCAGTCCCTTTGATCGTGAGGATCCTGGATTCGGGGAGACATTTGCAGGGCTGGCATGATTGGAGTCTTGTGGTGAGCCCTGTGGGGGCTGGGGAGGCTGCAGGTGCCCCTCCCCGACCAGTGCGTGATAGAAAGCTGGCTCTTCAGGTGGGGGCCTGGCCTAGAACTGGGTTCCCGGAGCTTGGTGTGTGCTGGGGGTTCTCCCCAGACCTAAATGGTGGTAGGCAGTTGGGTGAGTCCATCTCTCTGGTCCTTTCTAGCACAGGCGTGTGGGGCTAGGCAGCAGCCTCCATGACTATGCATGGACACACAAGCCTCCTGGCTCCCTGGGAGGAGTCTCGTGGCTAGAAATGGAACCTCCAGATTTCTTGGGGCAACATTCTAGATCCCCTGACTTCAGCTCTGTAAGGTCATGGGTAAGCCTGAAGCAGGTTCTGACGCATTCGATCCTGCAATAAGTCTGTGAAATGGGGAGCCAGCCATGGCGCTGTGGTTGTGAGTAACAGAAGCCCCCAACTCAACTGGCCATACGGAAGCAGAGAAGCACCTGACTCATCAGCCTACGGCAGGATTCCCAGTCAGCGAGGCAGCTGCTCAGGTAACAGAGTCCCCAACTCCAAATGGCTTAAACAATGAAAAACTGCATCTATTGCCTCAGCAGCAATGTTCAGTAACATGGGACCCCACCTCCCTGGCCATAGCTGATTGGACCAGAGGGAAGCTGCACCCAGGGCAGCCAATCAGTGGCCGGGCAAGCAGCCAATGGGATGTTCTGGAGGGGGAGTTCGCCCAATCAGGGTTCCGGGGAAGTCCACTCTGGGTCTCTCTCTGGAATTTGAGTCAGAGATTTGGAAGGAGTATGGGGCAATATGTAAAGGAGCAGAAGACGAAAGCCACACCACAGGGAGGGAGGGAGGTGCCGGCAGCATCAGCCTGGAGAGGAGTCGGCCATCTTTGAAACCACGAATAGAAGATTCTCTGTCCTCAGAGGTGAAGCGGGTCTTTCCCAATGCCCAGTTTGTCCTGGTCTTTGTAAGCTGGCCCGGGGCTCACCACGGAGGTCATGCCAAGCAGCTAGCACCCCTGAATTGCAATCTTTGCAGCTCCCACAGTATCCTCATGTGTGACCTCCCATTGGCCCTCACCACCACTGGCCAGGCATCTAGGAGGGCAGTGAGGCCTGGAATTCTCAGAAGTTCTCTTGTAGGACCACAGTGTGGCATCAGCCAGGCTTCCTCTCTCCAGGGAAGCCCTAGGAGAATGGGTGGGTGCTGGAAATGGACCCAGGTCTCTGGCCTCCTGGACTTCCCAGTGCCATCCCTCAGCCAGGGAACCTTCCCTGGGTCTGGATGAGAGCACTGGTCAGCCAAAGCCGGGGAATCAGCCCAAAAGCTGTGGGTAGAGGAGTGGGGGGCAGCTGGCATCCCCCTCTGCCCTAGCCTAAACCAAGATTGTCGGTGCGGGGTGCATACGGAGGGGACGGAAAGTGGGGAGGCCCAGTGGGATCTCCAGAGTGCCACATGTGTCCCCTTTCTGTCCCCACCCCACCCACATTTCACTAGCAGCCCCCGAGTTTCTCAGCCAAGGGAGACCATCCAAACACTATAGCGGCTGAGGATGCAGTCATTGGAATCCACCATCTACTGTAAGCTGGGCAAGTCACGGGATCTCTCTGGGCCTCCATTTCTTCATCTGCGAAATGGGGATGATCATAGCACCTCCCGCAGGGCAGGGAGGGTGAAATGAGTTCACACACGTGAGCTCTTGGAACAGTGCCTGGGGCACAGAACACACTGATTAGCCACCACTCCTCTAGCTATGGCTCAGGGAAGGGAGCCAGGAGAGAGGAACTTGGAGAGCAGAGAAAAGGAGACAGAAATATTAAAAGAGGGAGAAGGGACCCAGGCAGGTGGGGGGGGGCATGGGGCTTACTGGGGTGCCGGCCTTGACCTCTCAGGGCCGGCTCAGGTCTCTCTTGTTCTTTCTTCCCCCGTATAATCTCCCTGGAATTCTGAGAAATTCTGCTTCCACCCCCCAGCCGTTGCCATGGTGATGAAAACCTGGACCCAGCGGAAAGTTCTCTGTGCTCTTGGCAACGAGGCTGCGGCACCCTGCCTCCCGCCCGCCCGCCTGTGTGTGGGCGGCCAGCTCGGCTGCTGCCAGGATTCGGGGCCAGCGCTGCCTCTCCGTGAGACCCAGCCCTTCCCCCACGGAATCTAGCGTGGGAGCCCCGGCGTGTCCAGTGCCAAGGGCCCTCAGAGAATTTCTGGCCTCTTCCAATTTACAGGTGGGACACTGGGCCAGAGAAGACAGGTGACTTATGCAAAGCTGCACGGGCTCCTGACTCCCCTGGGCTCTCCCTCCTGGGCTCAGCTGTGCGTCTGGAGGGTGTGGTGCACGCGAGGACATCCCAGACAGGGGACTAGCCACATGGCAGGCCAGTCCCAGAGAACAGGCCAGCTGCTGAGCGCCAGGGGCATGCAGAAAAGCAGTGGGACCGGGGAGACCGACACTGCCTCCCTCTTCTCCCCCAGACACAGCGGCGGGTGGGTGCTATGGACTGAGTGTGTCCCCCCCAAATTCCTATGCTGAAACCCTCATCCCAGTGTGATGGTATTTGGAAGTGAGGCCTTTGGGAGGTGACTGGGTCATGAGGGTGTAGCCTTGGTAGTGGGATTAATGCCCTTAGAAGAAGAGATGAGAGAGACGATCTCTCCACCATGCAAGGATGCAGTAATGGGGCGCCGTCTGTAAACCAGGGAGAGGGTCCCAGAGTCTGACAATGCTGGCCCCCTGCTCTCGGACTTCCCAGCCTCCAGAACTGAGAGAGCTAAACGTTTATTGTCTGAGCTGCCCTGTTTATGGTAATTTGTTATAGCAGCCCAGCTGACTCAGACAGTGGGTTTGCTGGGGTGCTGTGTTTGATCCCCTCTAGACAGCCATTTTCAGCCACAGTGGAAGGTCACCAAGCCGGTCTTCATCAGTGTAGGGCCCTGCAGCCTCCTTGTCAGGGCCCAGGGTCCCAGCTTTGCTCCTCCCCCCATGCTTCCTTCCCCTCAGCAGACTGAGCCTTGGTCCCTGAAGCTGGCTCCCAGCAGGACCAACTACTCCTCTGCCCCTTCAAGGGTGGTTAGGTTCTGGTTTAACGAGGAATCTCCCACTTTTCAGCCACCCAGCTCCTTCTGTATTTGTTATTTTTCTTTTATGGACCTCATGCCTAATGATCTGAATGTTTGTGTCCCACCCCCAAAGTTTATATGTTGAAATCTAATCACTGATGTGATGATATTGAGAGGTGGGGCCTTTGGGGAAGTACTTAGGTCACCAGGGCAGAACCCTCATAAATGGGGTTAGTGCCCTTATGAAAGAGACCCCAGCAAGTTCCCTTATCCCTTCCACTGTGTGAAGACACAGTGAAGTCACAGTCTATGAGCCAGGAAGTGAGCTCTCACCAGACACCAGAGCTGGCAGCACCTTGATCTTGGACTTCCCAGCTTCCAGAATTTCTGTTGTTTATAAGCCACTCAATTTATGATATTTTGTTATAGCAGTCCGAATGGACTAGGACACCACATTTTCAAAACCTTTGTCCCTTGAGCAAACCATCATTATTGAGTAATGACACACACAGTGGCCTGTTTTTGATCATCAAAGCCTTGTGGAATCCAGACTTTGACTGCCCCAGAGGCAAAGATGTGGGATTCTTCAGGTTCTTATGTGGTCACGTGGACCATACATGGGACAGGTCCATACATTGACACTGACACTAGCTCAGGGCCTACCGTCCCCACCCCTCAGGTCCCTGCAGGTGAAAGTCCCAGGTTGGCAACAGTGGAATTTCCTCCAGGTCCTGCAGACCCACTAGGTGATGGGATATGGGCTGTCTTGGGAGCTCTGGTCATGGACCAGACTGAAGCCAGGCAGGTCCATATCATGCCCACCACAGACCTCCTGGGGGCCTCAACTGGACATTTTGAGATTATGAAAGGTCCTTGTGGTTCTTGCCAAGAATCCAGCTCTTGGAAAGCAGGGCCTCCCACCCTGTTTCCAATGATAAGACTTGGGCAACAAAACCACTCACTGGGCACCAAGAGCTTTCCCTGGAGCAGTCTCAGTGGCCCCAGAAGCTGTTACCCAAAGAATAGAGACTAAGCCCATGGCTTCTAATTTTCCATGGAGTCCTGGAGCTGGGAAACTTCCCTAGAGACAGATTTAGCCCTTTGTCTTCATTACACAGGGACATGAACTGTGATCTAGAGAAGGGAAGTGATGGCACAGGCAGGGGAGGGGTGCAAGGTCTAGTGCTAAAGGGTGGGAGCTCAGGTTCCATCTTTGTCCCTCCAAAGCTATGTAATAACAGAAGAATCACATCACTTCCCTGAGCCTCAGTCTCCAGATTCGTGAAATGGAGCTTGGGTTATCAACCACTATAATTCCTTCACCAGCTAGCGTACTCCTTAAGGGAAGGAGCATGCCAGACCCTTGTTTTCTTCTGTGTTTCTATCACAGAGCCTGGAAGAGAAGTCCTGGCTGAATCACAGGAACAAGCCATGAGGGCATTCCTTCCCCCAGACCATCCACCAAACATTCATTTCATTAATAAATTCCTTTTTTTTACAACCAAAATTTATTGTCATCTCTTATATGGTGGGGACATGAGAGTCAGGGAGGCAGAGTAGGAGCTTACAGTTGACTGATGGGACCAGACAGGTGATCACCACACCCTGGAATGTGGGAAGTACTGGACAGCACCTGAATGCAGAGGAGGAGCCCCATCTGTTTTTGCAGAGCCCAAGAAGGCTTTCCTGAGAAGGTGACAACTCAGCTAAGACCTCAGAGATAAGAAGGTTTAATGTAAGCAGAAGAAGCAGGTTTAAAGTTTCAGGAAGTGGAGAAAGAGAAGGGTAACCTGGAGGGCAGGAGGAAGGGTGCTCTGGGGCCACACAATCCCTCTCTCTCTCTGTCTATCTCCCAATGAAACAACGGCACCCCGTGCAGGGAGCACGGAGGTGGTTCAGGACCACGGAGAGCAGCACGAGGCCCTCCTAGCTGCCGGTCGGATCTTGCTGATCCTGAGGGGCGCTGGCCGGTTAAGGCCTGAGGAGAGGAAGGGCACGTTGTGGAGGTGGGGAAGCCACCAGGCCGAGGGCTGAGCTCTGGGAAACCAGCTGTCACCTCTCCAATCGGGTGAGGGCTGCTGTCACAGCCCCAGGGAAGCCTGGTGAGGCACACGTAGGCCTGGGAGCCCAGAAGCCCTGCTGGCCACAAGGAAAACAGCAGGAGACAAGGGGTTCTCCACTGTTTAAATCAGAAAGCCCTTTGAGAATCTGATGAATGGTAAATACTACATGTCGAAACATAATGAATAAATAAATTATACAGATTGTCAGAAGGTGATAAATGCGGTGGGAAAAAAGAAAAATCCTCCTCCCCCCTCCCGAAAAAAAGTGACTCCAAAGTTTTGGTATAATTCCAGAGGTTTTTAGCAACCTGAGCTCTTTACAGACACAGTTGAGAACCAGTCCCCCTCCAGGGTACAGCCATGCTGCTTGGGATGGGGGGAGGGGGACCATGGCTGCACTGAGTCTACCTGGTCCCCAAGTAGCGGCATGGGGGGACCTCTGCCGCCAACCAGCTGCTAGGGGTACCCCAGGCCCCTGGCTCTTGCAGCACTTGCAGTGCTGTTCCCCTATCTTTGCTGATCGAGCACCCATGTTGTGTCGGTCACTGCTGTGCATACAGCAGTAAACAGAATAAGCAAGTCAGTCCCCAGACAACTGACATCCCAGTGTGTGGAGACAGGCAATGACGAACAAAATAATTTAAATTATAAACCGTGTGTGTATGCATGTGTGTGTGTGTGTGCATGTGTGTGTGTGTGTGTGTTTTGAGATAGGGTCTCACTCTGTCACCCAGGCTGGAGTGCAGTGGTGAGCTCATAGTTCACTGCAGCCTTGAGCTCCTGGACTCAAGCCATCCTCCCACCCCAGCCTCCTGAGTAGCTGGGACTACAGGTGTGCCCCACCATGCTCTGCTGGTTTTTAAATTTTTTTGTAAAGATAAGGTCTTGCTATGTTGCCCAGGCTGGTCTTGAACTCCTGGCCTCAAGTGATCCTTCTACCTCAGCCTCCCAAAGTGCTGGGATTACAGGCACGAGGCCCTGTGCCCAGCTGATATAGTATATTAAAAGGGTTGGTGCTGTGGAGAAAGCCTAGCAGGGTGAGAGGGGCTGGAGGGGGGCAGTGGAGAGGGGGGGAAGCTGCAGTTTTAAGCATGGAGGTCAGAGTGGGCCTCACTGGGAAGGGGGCCCTAAGCAAAGACTTGGAGGAGGCGAGGGGCTTGGCCATGCAGACGTGCAGGAACAGGGCTCCAGGCAGAGGGGACGGTGGTGCAAAGGCCGGGAGGAGGGGAATGTGGCTGGCGTGTTGCAGGGGGAGCCAGAGAGGGGAAGAGAGTTCGGGAGGAGGTGAGAGGGGTCACGGGGCCAGGTGGTGGGGAGCTGTCGTACAGACTGGCGTTTGCTCTGAGTGGGATGGGAGCCAAAGCAGGGTTTTGAGCAGAGGAAGAAGGTTATCTGACATATTTAGAAGGCCTTTGTGCTGAGGACAGACTGGAGAGGGAAGGCCGGAGACCAGGTAGGAGCTGTGGCAGTTACCCAGATGGGAGGCAATGGCGGCTCGGACCAGGGGGCAACCAGGGCGGTGGAGGCACAAGGCCGACTCTGGGTAGATTCGGAGGGTGGTGACGACAGGATGTGCAGAGGGATCAGATGCAGGGTGGAAGGAAAAGAGGGGAGTCAAGGATGACTTTCCCACATTGCATCTGGGGCTCCCAGGTCACCCCCAGAGCTGGTCCCAGCTGCCTGGCCTGCTACATTTACCCCGCACATTTTGACCTTAGGCAATAAACTAACCATCTACTGCGGTTATAAAGGAACACCAGAATGCTAGCGATCAGTTAGTGCAATAGACTCTAGGGGCTCACAGAGGGAGTGGGGCTCAGAGGGTTTAGGCAGCTGCCTAGGCCGTGGCCAGTCTCTGAGATACCAGACTCGAGCCCAGCAGCTCTGGCTCCACCCAGAGCTCTGCGTCCCCCCTTAGGCCTGCTCAGATCTCCCGGGAGGCTCATTCTGAGCAATGCCTCCTGTCCACTAAGCTAGGGAGAGATTTTTTTCATGGAACGAATGAGAAAAGGAAATGACGTCAACCAAGGGCTGAGTGGGGGAGGCCTGGGCAGGGGCAGCGGCCTTTCCACACCAAACGTGACCCTGAGCTCGTCCTGTGCAGGAGGAAGAGAATCTGGCCCAGTGCCCGCATCCAGGCTCCCTGCCAGGGCCAGGACACAGAAAATGTTTGCACGGCATCAAGGGGTGGTCTGGGTGCCCAGAGAACCTGGGGGGAGGTGAGCGGGGAGGTCAGGGCACCCCTCATGGAGCCCAGAGCGGAGCCTGGGTGTGGAAGAGTCTGTGGCCCTTTGCCCCTGTGCCCCCCATGGTCAAGGTCCAACTGCTGACCTTTTACCTGTGTCCCCAGCCCTTTCCTCTCCTGGTAGCATTCATGGCTCTCTTTCTTAGCTCTTCACCCATGGACTTCATTAAGGAAGCTTCCAGAACATGCCTGCACATCCGTGGTACCCAGGTACCACCGTGCATCACTGCATTGCAAGGTAGGTGGCAATGACCCAGGAGAGCCGTGCCTGGGTGCCAGCCGCTCCTTTCTCCGTCTCCTTCCATGCAGGGCCCCACGCTGGGACACCTGGTGGTTATTTTCCTCCCTCCCCTGCTCAGGGAGGCTTCTAGCAGCCCTGGAGGGGTGGGGCTGGGGTTTCTATTACACAGATACAGACCCAGAACCCAGGGAGAGAGGGGTTAAGAGAGCTCACACAGTGTAGTTACCGAGGGGCACAGATTCTGGAAGTTACCGCGAAGGAGAGGTAAAGATTCCCCTTTTCACCGTCTTCAGTTGAGTCTTCAGTCCTGCTGCGTGTCTGCTGTAAGGCAGCCCCCAAACAAAGCACGTATTTTCAGAACTGCAACGTGTTTAGTGTTTTCTTTTTCTCTCTTTCTTCCTTGAGAACAATTCAGGGCTTGCCTTCCGTGCTCCGTGCCCATGGTGACTGGAAAATCGAGGGGCGGTCTAAGTGTCCAAGGGAGGCGTGTGGTTTCTTGCTTTTGTGCAGATACAGCCGTGGTGGCCGGTCCCCGTGGGCGGCCTCACACACAGCCCTTTGTGGGCCTCGCACCCGCTGTGGTTTGTCGTGCTGCTGTGTTTCAGAGTTAGGAACCTGTGGTTTCTAACTGTGCCTGAGGATGCCGCCCTGCTCTGTCCCTGCCGGGGTTCCCCTTCCAGCCGGATCGGGAGGGACGCAAGGTGAGATTCCAGGCCCTGTCGTGATGGTATCACTCGTGCAAACACACAGAAATACCTATTCGCTCAACCAGAGACGTGTCCTAGACATATTTACAAAGAACCAGAGTATAAAGTCTAATTTTAAAACATCTGTTTACATAAACTAATATTTAAATTGTACAATTTTACTTTTTTATTTTTTTCCTTTTTTAAAAAAAATTTCAGCATAATATGGGGGTACAAATGTTAAGGTCACATACATTGCTATTGCCTTCCCTCCCCCCGCGAGTCAGAGCTTCAAGTGTGTCCACCCCCCCCCACAATGCACATCGCACTTATAATGTATATATAAGCCCATCCTCTTCCCCCCGACCTGCCCGACACCCGATAAATATATATATTTTTAACATTTTGGTTAGATTTTATAACTTTGCCTTTACCTAGCAAAGGTTTAAATTGTACAATTTTATAGCAAAAGTGACAATACTGCACTTTGGGGTTGTATCGCTGCTGTCTTCAGGAGCCTGGCCTCCTGATGAGAGCTGCGGTTCATTGTTGCTGGCAACTCCTGCGTCCCCCGCCTCGCTGGTCTGGGAGAAGCCAGACCCCTGGGAGCACACGCCCCGTGTCTGTGCATTTGCCTAGGCTCTGCCCCCAGCCCGGCTGTCCGGGACAGGGCGTGGGTAGCCTGCTTCTCGTCTGTCTGGAGTCTGCTGAGGCTCATTCTCCGGGCGAGGCTCTCTGCAAGCGCCACTGTGATGTTCTCCAGGCCTCGGGACACGTGGGGACGTCTCTCAGGCTGCTCCCCTCCCTAGAGTGGCCAGGACAGACGCCCCGTGCATTGCAGGCTGAGTGCTCCTCAGTCTCGGCCCGACAGGGGTTCTTGGCTTGGCCAAACTTCAGAACCCCAGTCGCGCTTCTGAATCTCCTCCCAGGACCGTTGGTGCCCTTCCTGGTGAAATCCAGTTTTAGTGAAAGAGTCCTCTTAAGTCAGTTCAGCCAGAAACCCCATCTTCAATAGCTGATCAGGGCCGGGCACGGTGGCTCACGCCTGTAATCCTAGCACTCTGGGAGGCCGAGGGGGGAGGATCGCTCAAGGTCAGGAGTTCAAAACCAGACTGAGCAAGAGCAAGACGCCGTCTCTACTAAAAATAGAAAGAAATCAATTGGCCAACTAAAAATATACAGAAAAAATTAGCCGGGCATGGTGGTGCATGCCTGTAGTCCCAGCTACTCGGGAGGCTGAGGCAGGAGGATCATTTGAGCCCAGGAGTTTGA